TCATTCGTGCAGCTGAGCCGCAACAGTGCCAACATTTCTTCAGGTTCAGTTTATCATCGAGATGAACGTCTCCTCATCCAAAGCACCAGAAACAAAGTGGGTTCCACATAAAGCTGTGCTGATGTTTGACAGGTGTACACACCTGACAGGAGCATAAAACACCGCCAGCCTGCGCACGGTTACTGACGACTCACTCAGCGCTGAGGGCGGAGCTGAAGCGTCTCCTCAGATAGCCGGGGACTGACAGATCCACGCTCGGTGTCGTGTCTGATCAATTCAAAGCCATCAAATCTTTATTAGCAGCCAATAGAAACAGCAGATCAGCTCAGCAGCAGCAGTCTGTGGCAGTTACCACGGGGACGCTCCATCACAACTTATTGATTGGATGGTTTCACTGTCTGCCGGTGTGCCTAATTAGAGCGCTTGAGTTCAGACAATTAGCCAATCAGATAAAGACTTTAATGACAGCTGGTTGGTTCAGGTGTTCCAGAGTTTATTAAACTGCAGTGAAACATGAATCAAGAGCATCGTTCATTCGTCTTAGCTCAGTGTGCAGAATGACATCAGCGTTTTTAGCAGCTCAGGTGTCTCTGGGCTGATGTGGAGTCGTGGTCATGTGACCTATAGTTGTCAAGGTAAAAGCCTCATACGAATGAGATACAACACATAAGAATAAAACAGTCACATCAACACAAACACGCAATAACAGGTCATTAAAAACAGCCACACAGCATCACCAACAGCTGCACATGCCGTCCAAACATGGCGTCCTGAACAGTCGCTGATCCACCAGCTAAAGAGGAAAACGCTGCCAGGTTCAGGTGGTAACTCTGGTCTGACATCATCTACCTGATGATCAGGTGTTACTGCTCTGCATGTGGACACATGTGCTTAAAGATGCAGTGAGGATGCATTCAGGTTTGATCCGGGAGGACTCGGAGCGACTGCAGGTGGAAGAAACACAGGTGACAGTAAAGTGTGTAACAGTCAACAACACAAGGTCACAGCCACTCGCACAACTATAGATAACACAGACATCTGGAGAGCTAACACACTCTTATAACTGCTGCCTGTCACGCCCTGTGAGCCTTCAAGGACTGAACACACACACACACACACAGTTTGATGTATAGGAGAGTCGGTCTAAAGCTTGTTAAATGCAGCTGAACCAAGACGGGATTATGATTCATGCACTTCACACACACACACACACACACACACACACACTCTGAGTCCTGGCTGTGCTCGGCTGCGTTCACTGACGCTCTGATTTATCACCTCCCAACCAGTTTAAACTGTAAATGATGTTAGAGGAGAGAGGAGGGGAGGGGAAAACAAAAAATGAACAAGTCTGATGGATTCGGCGTGTCTGAGGGTTGCAGATTCGCCGCGATGTGCACGGCTGCAGTTATTACACCTGACAAAGAGCGGCATAAATTATCAGTTCAAACTGAAGTGTGTGGTTTCCCATCAGCGTGACAATGACGCCTCCGTGTGTTTCCTCCCGTCGGTCTAATCCAATCGGCCCGAAAACTTTCTGGAGTATTTTCATTGACATTTATTTTTTCCTTTGTTCTCTCTGTGCACGACTTACATGTTTAATCCAGAAATAATCTGAAATGCTCACATGTAATCTGTGAGAGGAGTGTCTCACGTCTTCTCCACGGCCGTCTGAGCAGCTGAAGACTTTAAAAAGTTTAACTAGTGAACAAATGTGACGATATTAATGTTGTGAGGTGTCTAACGAAAAGACCTGCTCCCTCCTCAGCGTTAAACGAGCCTACCATCGATTATGGCTTCCAGAGGTTACAGAAGGTCATCCCCCGCCACCCCGGAGACCCGGAGAGACTGCCGAAGGTAGGACGCGCTCAGACACGCAATCGTTTTATACAAACACACAGAATAAGTGATTATTGTCGGTGTGTTTTTTCCATCAGTCTGCGTTCTGGTTGGCTGCTCAGAGTCCTGATAATCATCAGCTGCATCCACCGATTCTGCTGTTTAACTTGTTTTTGTGTGTCCACTCAGACCGCAGCTTCTAACACACACACAGTTTTCATCAAACCTGTAGTTTGGACACCAGTGTCTGCTTTCACGTTTGTCCTGGTTTGGCTGAATTTGGTTTTATATATAAGGCGATACTTGGGTTGCTGCCTTCTTATCTATGTTCCCTGCTTGTAATGAAACGTGCTGGTCAGTATTCTCTTCGTCCGCATGGTTACTTGTTGCTTTCTGCTCCATTTGCCCGAACTGAACTTGGTAAAAGAGCTTTTGTCCATTTAGCACCTTTGGCTTGGAACAAACTGCAGAACGACGGGAAAATGACTGAATTTATTTCATTAAGTGCTTTTAAATCTAAACTACGAATCCTTGAGGCCAAGTCCATAACATGCAACTGTTTCAATTAGATTGATTGTCATTTTAACTGATTTTTTATTTATTTATTTTTTTTATTTGAATTTTATTGAATTTTATTTTATTTGTATTCTTTCACTTATTGTTGCATGTGTGTTGTTGCTGCCTGTGTTTGAGTAATTTCTGTAACTGTGAGACACCTGCTGATCTTGGCCAGGTCTCCCTTGAAAAAGAGGTTTTTAATCTCAATGGGATTTTCCTGGTTAAATAAAGGTTAATAAATAAATACATGATGAATCCAGCACATCTGCTTGCCATCGCGTTACCACACGTTTGATGCTCCAGAGAAAAGGCTGACGGTAAAGTCAGCTGGTCAGTGAACGATCTGTAATGAAGCAGGAACTTCACATTCCCCCTCTGTGGGTTCATTTTCACCCGGTGGGGTGAAAAGCGGTGCAAAGGTTAACATGATCCAACGCCCTCAGTCTGCTGGCTCCAGTCAGAACCAGCAACGAGTCCTGCGCTTGTCTGTTGAAGAAGGAAGCTGCTTCCATGATGTTCTCCTTTTATGCTGCCACTCCTGTTCGCTGTTGTGAGGATGTTGTTTAGTTTCCAGTTCACAGCTTTTCAATCAGACTCTGAAAATCATCCCACATTTCTCATCGGTGGAGGCCAAAGTTTTTCTTTTTAAGCTCACACTTTCACATCTTTTACCCATTTTAGATTTGGGGACTTTTTTTCAGATGGGTTCAAACAATCAAGCAAAGAGACAGAATCAGAGTTTCCCTTTAGGGTGGACATGTAAAAACTGCTGTGCTGCTTCAGGTCAACAGTTCAGTGTATGTGTTTGTGTGTTTCAATAATAACTCATAAAGCAGGTTTGGGATCGTCGGGCTGTCCTGATCCTGGATCAGCTGTCCAGTTTAGAGGAACCAGGATAAGATGTTTATACATATCAGGCCTAATCTGGATCGTCCAGATTCGGATCAGAAGCGGGATGCTGATGTCAATTATCCGACACTTCTATTCACCCCCTCGTTTAATGAACAACCTTGCAGTAGTTGAAAGAGAATTTCTCCAGTGTGCTTTCAGCCTCCAGCTGCTCTGATGTGAGCTGACATGCTGTTAGCTCCATAATGAAAACCACATCTTTAATAATTCATCTGTAATGGTTTTATTCAATTACCCACGCTGCCTTGTGCTCAGCGTGCAGCCGAGTGACTGTTGACCACAGAAACGCTAATAACTGGAAATAATCCCGACTGTTTCGGCGGGCTGACTGCGACGGCTGAGTCGGGCTTACGTGTGACGGGTTGTGCACTCGTGACATCACACAGGTCACAAACCTGGTCACGACCATGTTCTGGCGAAGCACACACGGCTGATCTCCCTGTGTGTGTTCAAACAGCGGTGCCTTGTGAACACTCGGTGCTACCTCGATACACAAATATACCTGTGATTTGAAAGCAGTTATAAAAAGGGCCGCGACCCAACCCTCACATTGGAAGCTCTTATTTCATGGACGCTGTCACGATCAGCAGTAGATTCACCGATGCTGTCTCTGTAGGTGCAGTTGTATTCTGCTGGTGGTTTCGTCCTTCCCGCTGTCACCAAGTGCTTGCTCATAGGGGGTCGTATGATTGTCTTTACCCTACAATATGAAGCACCTGGAGGCGACTGCTGCTGTGATTTGGTGCTGAATGAAAGAGAAGTTTGCTGATAGTCTCACTGAAGCCTGTGATTGGTTGATTGTACTGTAGTTTTGTTTGATACACCTGTTCAAAGTGTGCTCACAAGTATGTGAACAGCTCCCAGGAAGTTTCCTGTTGAGCTTTGAAGCAGTAGGAGGTCAGTTTGCTCTGTGCTTTTGAGGTGGAGGCTAAAGATGGCACGCTGTCCCACTTCCTCTGTGTCCTCGTCAAACATGTGAGCTGGTGACAGTCACATGATGAGACATTTTCTGAGAGTGACACCTGCTTCTGACCCTACAGACGGACGGAGTTTGGGTTTGGTGCCATAGCGACACCAAAGATTAAACTTTAAAGTGTCGGTATGTGCGGCAGCTGCCGTCAGTCATCCCGGCAC